ACCCTCGCACCCCAACCTTACCTTGCTGCATGCTGGGGTCAGGAGGTCGTGTCATCGGGGTCGTAGACACGTTGGGCGGCTTCATCTGCTTGAGGTTCTTTCCGAACGTGACTGCGCTGACTAGAGCGTTGGTATCAGCCTGTGAGTACGTCATGGGCAGGTTGGCCTTCGACCCTGCCACACAACAACAAGGACAACCATGTCAGCGATGCGTGTGTGTGTGTAGATCACACAATGACAGATGTAACGTGACTGCGCTGACTAGAGCGTTGGTGTCAGCCTGTGAGTACGTCATGGGCAGGTTGGCCTTCGACCCTGCCACACAACAACAACAACAACCGTGTCAGCGACACGTGTGTGTGTGTAGATCACACAATGACAGATGTAACGTGACAGCGCTGACTAGAGCGTTGGTGTCAGCCTGTGAGTACGTCACGGGAAGGTTGGCCATCGACCCTGCCACACAAGAACAACAATGACCGTGTCAGCGATGCGTGTGTGTGTGTAGATCACACAATGACAGATGTAACGTGACAGCACTGACTAGAGCGTTGGTGTCAGCCTGTGAGTACGTCACGGGAAGGTTGGCCTTCGATCCTGCCACACAAGAACAACAATGACCGTGTCAGCGATGCGTGTGTGTGTGTAGATCACACAATGACAGATGTAACGTGACAGCGCTGACTAGAGCGTTGGTGTCAGCCTGTGAGTACGTCACGGGAAGGTTGGCCTTCGATCCTGCCACACAAGAACAACAATGACCGTGTCAGCGATGCGTGTGTGTGTAGATCACACAATGACAGATGTAACATGACAGCGCTGACTAGAGCGTTGGTGTCAGCCTGTGAGTACGTCATGGGCAGGTTGGCCTTCGATCCTGCCACACAAGAACAACAATGACCGTGTCAGCGACGCGTGTGTGTGTAGATCACACAATGAAAGATGTAACGTGTAATGTGTAACGAAAACATCAACAACAATGTCAGCACACGTGCGTGCATAGACCACACAATGACAGATAGGATATAACGTGCAACGAAAACAACAACAACAATAACAACAACAGCTCAACAATCCGCGGCAGCTACACACATGTATACAGAGGAATGCAACAGATGGGTCATAAATTTTAACGAAAACAAGGACAACAACAATAACAGTGTCAGCACACATGTGTATACAGACCACACAACAACAGATAGGATGTTACGCATATGTAGCGCCTATGTGCGTCTACTTAGGTGTGGTAGGTGAGGTAGGTTAGCTGGGAGTACAGGATGCGGTAGACATAAAGCAAACGCCAAACTAGAGAAGTAACGTACCACAAGCGACTGTATTGTTAGCCATGATAATACAAGGTAATACAGCACGTAGCGTACAGATACAACTAAGACAGGTAATGACACGGGGATGGAGCATGTAGGCTTCCCCGTGTCCGCGTGCCGCTCGCCTTATATACGCCGGCGATCCCTGTGCCCTTCATCCGGGCATTATCCTGTCACCTCTTGGGTTGTCCAGGTTCCTATTCTGCCGACCCCCGACTAGCGAGGGCCGCATCCCATAGTGTCGCGTGTCACGTACCCCGCTCTCTCTCTCTTAAGCGACCATTCTTTCTAGTCACCGTTCGACACCTATGCCACCTGTCGCACTTGCTACCGGCTGTTGCCTGCTGCAATGTGCCTAATTACTGAGCTGTAGCGCAGCGTCGCTACGCATATTGAAAACAACTGCACGTGAACAAAAGAAATTAGCGATAGAACAAGCTTTATATTGACAGAAAAAAAACACATTTCTACTCACCAGACTCACTCTCCCACTCATCCTTCGCGTTGGAGACAAGCTCAATAATGTTCCCGGAGATCTTGTTCAATGACGTTATTTGTCTCTGCAAAATAAAACATCAAGTTTTTATGAGGACACCAGAACATCGGGGGCTGGCCGAGGCATCGGTGGCGCCGCCCGGCGGCGAGACTCACCTGCGCGTTCTCTGGCGCCACCTGGTTAGCGAACCATCTAAAACGAACAAATAATAAAATAAAGAACACACATAATTACGAATATATACGATATATATTATATATATATATATATATTTATTTATTTATTTATGTTATTTAAATAAACAGACACAGAGTAGATAGAATGCAAGCAGAGTGTTTTTTCCATGTGCAAGGGATTCAGTGAAAACATCTATATCAAGAAAAGCAAGACGATGCACTGTAGAATGAAAATTTGGGCGTATAAAGTATATACGTTTTTACAAGCCACCGGTTATAACCGATGCGTTACTATTTAATTATAACATCAATGTGTCACGTCATTCGAATCTTTCATTATACATCTATAAACGACAAAGGAATTATTAAGAAGAAGGGACGTGCATGGCACAAATTAATACATTATCGAGGAAACATTATTATCATGAAATTATTGAACAGAACGCGGTGCTTGCACTCAACTCGTAGATTAACTTACTTATATTACTAATCTTAACTAATCTTACTTAACTTTATGTTGCGCTTAATGCTTAATTGTCTTACGAAGACCGTTTTTTATCTGGCCTGAGCGTATCATTGTTGATAGTGATGAAATTATATTACGAACGCAGTGTCGCACTCCACGGCCAGCAAGCTTTATGTTGCCGCTTAATTGCTTAATTGTCATACGAGAGTAAATCTGTGCCTGTCTACTTGCCATGAATAATTCACCTGTCGCGCCAGCTGTTTGGTGACGCATCATGGCATGGGAAATGTCTGGAAATGTTCGCGCCACACCGCGCTGGACGACGCACACACCACACGCCACACACACACACACACACACACACACACACACACACACACACACACACACACACACACACACACGCTGACACGCACACACACACACAACACACACACACACACACACACACACACACACGCGCCACACCACACACACACACACACACACCACCACACACCACACACACAC